TGTAATGTATTGCCTCTGGGATGGGATGTGTTCCCTGGCTGTGAGCCAGCTATATAACATCCCACCCTGGCTGTCAGATATCTCCAGTGTCCAGCTGTGATGACAAAGATTTCCTGCAGCCTCCTCTTCTGCCCTCCAACTCCTGACACTATATTTACCTCTAAGGATGCAAGAGTAGTTTGCTACTCTCTAGCCTGCAAGAGGTAGCCTGTCAGCCTCTATCTGCCATTAAACAATTCTTTCTTCTACATCATTGTGTGTCTGAGTGGTTTTCTGGGTCACTGATCTTGACATTGCTGCTCCCTGACCCCTTCTTCAAAGAGCTTGATATAGGACCACAAATTTGGATCCAGGTGTGGGGTATTACCTGAAGTGTAATTCCCTGGCAATCTGTCTCCCCCCAAGCAGCCAGGCTTTGGCATGGGAGTGAGGTGTGAAATTCTACCCTCCTCTGGCCCAGGGTGTCAGCCTTCAGTGCGCTGTAACCCAGACTGTGAAAACCCTCAACATGGAAGAAACTACATCCCAAAAGAGAAAAAAAATATTTAACTGAAAAATGTATTTGTACAATCAAAATAAATATGAAGTTGGGCTTTCTTTTTTAAGATTTGGAGGGATTCATTTGTGTTTTGGGATACTAATATCAGAGCAGGTGCAAATATCATGTAGACTAGAGTTACAACCTGGGATGCAAAATTTACTGAGCCTCCCCTGGGTGGATGGAGGGGGGGGGCAGGCACTATGGAGCCCTCTGTTTTCTGAGGCATTTTTGTCTCCATTTGATCAAACTGAAAAGCTGAGCCTCAACCAAGTTGAAATTCTTATCCCAAGGTCACACAAGTAGCAGAGTGACAGGAGCCGAATGGATTTCCAACTCTGAAGTTGGTACAGGTAATATTTAAGTCCAGTTGCCTTTAAGAAATAAAATTCCAAACCAAGATGATTGGATGATAAGGATAGTAGGAAGGAATCCATTGGTGACAGCAGTCATATCTCAGGGAGAGTAGTACAAAGAACGTTTGTATTCTACTTTGTATACTGTATTCCTGTAATTTTTTGTATAACCAGTAGCTGTGCTTGCTTGCTTCCCCCCTCATTCTCTCTCTCTCTCTGTTTCTCTCTCTTTCTGTTTTACCTTCATCTGTTTTTAATGTGCATGAGTGCTGGTCATGGGGCTTGAACTCAGGTCTTCATGCTCTGAGGATGTTCTACAGATACTAACCCCAAATAGTTTCCCTAGATCTGATTTCGGTCTTCCCCAACCATCCCCCGATAACCCAGCTTTCCATTGAGCTGGGTAGGCAACAACAAGAAGGAGGACTCTGGCCATACCCATATCACCGTGGTATCCGAAAGGATCCATCCCAGCCATCTCAGGGGACCAGTTGGAGGCAGACAAGCACAGGAGAAAGACTATTACAAGGTTTATTAGAGGAGCCCTATTTGCCCCAGAGAGAGAGCACATGACAGCCTCCACTATCTAGGTACCCGCAGGGTCTGAGGGGTAGGAAGTAAGGTAGATGGGAGTTCAGGTGGGTCAGGGCGGAGAGAGGGAGGGGCCAGCTGTATTGGGGAACTCAAGGGCAGGGAGGGGCTCAGGTCTGGGTGGAGCTGAGGACCAAAGGTGGGCATAATGCTTACAGTATCCACCTGATGCTGGATTCTTTTCATTATCAACAAATGTGGCAGGGTAAGTTTTTTTTTCCCTCCTGCTCCCATCCCGAACCCCTTGTTAGCTTCCAGCAAGCACAAAGGCACATTGCACAATGCAAGTCAAAGGCGGGGAGGACCAGTCTCTTAGCATACTAACACTCAGGCAGTAGGTCACTCTTGGCTGTATACAAAATCTGTCTCACCAATACCTGTCCTCATCACTAGCAAATGAAGGCATCTTTATCTTTGAGTGTTATGCAGTAGTCTTTTACTTACAAGGAAGAAAAATCCAGTTTGAACTGACTGAATAATACTTGAAGGTGTTACTGTGCATGCTTAGCATGCACAAGGTACTTCCTTAGCATGCACAAGGCCCTGGGCTCAATTCCCAGCATTACAAAACATAAAATTGGGATTGATTTCATTGGTTAATAGAATCAAAAGATCTTAAGATAGATTTCTCTGACTTCAGATATGGCTGGATCCAGGTGTTCAGACGATATCTTTCAGCCTCTATTTAACTGTTTATTCGTCTTTCTTTTGTACTTACCTGACTCTCTCCCTACACTGTAGTCTTGACAACTCCAGGGCTCCATTTCCAAACTTGGAAATGCAAGAGAAACTTTTCAAGAACCATAACAAAATCCAGGTGTGGGAGTACATGCCTGCAATACCAGCACTTAGGAGGGAGAAACAGGAGAATCTTGAGTTTAAAGCCAGCCTGTTCTACCTAAGCAAAACTCTGTTTAAAAAAAAAAAAAAACAAGACAGGCACCAGTAGTTCACATGTACAATCCTAGCAATGGGGAGGGTGAAATCTGAGGATCATGTTCAAACCAGCCTGGACAAGAAAGTCTGGACTCTTCTTTTTTTTTTTTTTTTGCCAGTGGTGGGGCTTGAACTCAGGGCCTGGGCACTGTACTGAGCTGCTTTTGCTCAAGGTTAGCACTCTACCACTTGAGCCACAGCACCACTTCCAGCTTTTTCTGTTTATGTGGTACTGAGGAATCGAACCCAGGACTTCATGCACGCTAGGCAAGCACTCTACCAACTCAGCTACATTCCCAGCCCTGCTGTGAGCCTCTTATTTCCAAATAACCACCAAAGAGCCAGAAGTGAAGCTGTGGCTCAAGTGGTAGGGCACCAGTCTTGAACATAAAAGCTGAGGGATAATGCCTAGGCCCTGAGTTCAAGGCCTAACACCATCATCTCATACTCCTCAAAAAAAAAAAAAAAATAATAATCCCACAGAAGTCCCGGAATTGAATCTCATTGGCCTAGCTTAGAGCCCCTGCCTATGTCTAAGCCAATTATTGCAGCCAGCAAAATGGAAAGAGCTGATTCGTCCACCCTCAGTCACATCATATTGACTCCCCCCTCCCACAGAGCCAGAGTGAAAGAACAACTCCAATGGATCCACACAGAATAGCAATGAAGAACTGGGTTTCAGTCTCAGAGGACCCAATGAAGCAAGAGTTACTTCATGAGGATGAAGCATGTGCCAGGCTGGGGCCAGGCCTGCAATGCCCACCCTGGGGTTGGGCACATTATGGCCTGCATGTGGCAGTTTTTGAGGGAGTAGCTGTATCACCCCCACCCTCTGTGGTAAACAGGGCAGATATTCCTAACTTCCATGCTACTCACATGAGTCCTGCCAGCCTCAGCCAATGCCTAGATGCCCATGGCATCTATATGGACAGATGAGATTGGGAACCAGACCTTGGACGCCAGAAGGTCCTGCCCCTGTGGAAGGCCTCTCGGCAGGCAGCCAGCCTGCCTACCCTGGCCACACCCTGGCCACGCACACCAGGCCTTCCTTATGGAGCCAGGATTCCAGGAGATCGCAGAGGACGGTCCAGAGCCCAGAGTTATAAACAGCAGCTGTCTTTACAACTGCTTGGGGACACAGCTGCAAGCCAAGCATGAGACATGGGCAATGATTATTAGGTACTTGTAAATGCAAGGCACATGAATTGGGAAATGCTAATACAATTGTATTAACCACTGAATGCTGGCAGGGAGGGAGGGGGGAGGGGGATGGTGCTAATGTTCTGCAGGAAGCTGGAGTTTTGTTTTTCTGTTTTTGTCAGTATTAGGGCTTGAACTCAGGGCCTAGGTGCTGTCCTTGAGCTTTTTTGGCTCAAGGTTGGTGCTCTACCACTTCAGCTACAATTCCACTTCTCCTAGCTAATGGGAGAGTGGCAAGGGGGATGTCCTAGGGCTTGAACTCAGGGCCTGGGCACTGTCCTTGAGCTTTAATTTGCTCAAGATTGACATTCTACCACTTGAGCCACAGGTCCATTTCCAGCTTTTTGGTGGTTAATTGGAAGTTGGTTTCTTTTTCTTTTTTTAAGTCTCCCAGACTTTTCTGCTGTGGCTGGCTTTGAACAGCGATCCTCAGATCTCAGCCTCCTGAGTAGCTAGGATTTCAGGTTTGAGGCACTGGTGCTCAGCTTTCCCTCAAGGAAACTGCCACCTGCCAGCACCCAGCATTGTTACCTATTCTGTTGTGCTTCTTGTCTACTCTATTTATCTCACCTCTTCAGGCTCTTTCATGAGCCCCTGGCTTATAGATGTGCTCAAAGAGCAAGCAAACATTTTTTCCACTCATCTTAACACCCCAATGATTTTATCTGAAACCTCAGTGCTGAAAAAGGTTCTCAAACATCCCGTGTAGCTGTGCATCCAGCTACATCCAAATCAAGAAGATGTTAGTTAATCCTGCAGGAGTTTAGAAGCATTCAGAACCTATGACATCTTAGTCTCTTGGTCTGAAATCTAGAAACATGCATCTTTAAAATGTTGCCAGGAGTCAGGCACTAGTGGCTTATACCTATAAGCATCGGTACTTAGGAGGCTGAGATTTGAGGATCCTAGTTTGAAGTCATCCCGGGCAGAAAAGTCAGTGAGACTCTTACCTTTAATTAATCACTCAAAAGTTGGAAGTGGAACTGTGGCTTATGTGGTAGAGTGCCAACCATGAGTGAAAAAGGTAAGGGCCAGTATCCAGGCCCTGAGTTCAAGCCCCAGAACTATCACCAAAAAAATAAAAATAAAAAAGGTGGCCAGGGCATTTGATGGGGGTTTCTGGTGCATGCCAAAGCTCACCAGGAGCCACGAGGGTTATGGGTCATGTGGGAACTCACCAGGCAGGCAGCTGCCCCAGCAGCAAAGTCCTGGCTCATTAGGCCCCGCCCCCCCATGGCCCTTCTATCAGGCAATTCAAAGTCTCCAGAGCCGCGAGTTACTGATTAACCTTAGGTTTCAAGTAAAGAAATGACTGAAGGAGAATGTAAGCCAAGGAACAAACTGGGCAGACTGGAGAGATCAGTGCCAGACAGCTGTTGTCAGATGGCACCTAGCAAATAAGAAGGCGGCTGGATGGACGTGCCCTGTCCTGGGTGGAAAGCCATCCAAGTATCGGCCACATCAGCTGACATTCCCTGTGGATGTCCAGGCTCTGAGCTCTGGTGTCCTGCCGACTCTGAGCCCAGAATGTCCTGCACGGAAGCCCTGAAGCCGCCCCAGCCCAGCTCATCAGGAGGTATCACCACACCTGCCATCGCCGCCACTATGCCGGGGCCCGCTGGGCATCATCGGTGCTCCATGGAAAGTGACCTGGAGTGCCTGGTATGCCGAGAACCCTACAACTGTGCCCGGTCACCCAAGCTGCTCAGTTGCCAGCACACCTTCTGTGCCGTGTGCCTGAAGCTCCTGCTGTGTGTGCAAGAAGACACCTGGTCCATTACCTGCCCGCTCTGTCGAAAGGTCACCGCCGTCCCGGGAGGTCTCATCTGTAGCCTACGTGATGAGGAGGCTGTGGTAGGGAGGCTGGTCCGGCCAGGGGCAGAGGTGCGGCTGTGTCCCCAGGGACTAACAGGTTCTACCGCCTTTGCACCAAGACACTCTAGCCTGGTAGGAGAGGATGAGCAAGACGCCCTGAGTGCCAACCGTGTGGCAGCCCGGCGCCTGGCCGTCCACCTGCTCCTGCTGGTCCTGCTCATTATCCTCATCCTACCCTTCATCTACCCAGGCATCATCCGGTGGGTGCTGGCTTGCATCATCGCCCTGGCCCTGTTGATGTCCACACTCTTCTGCTGTTATCCCCAGAGCCAGGCCAGCTGCTGGCCCTGCTCTAAGACTTCCTTCTGCGGACAGCAGAAACATAGCCAGATCGCTTCCATTGCTTGATGGGACCCTGGGTCCCAGCAGCCCTGGCAAGTCTTTGGATTTTACAAACAGGGTAAGGAACTAGGAACTGAAGCTGAGATTACATGCCAGCTGGACTTGCAAGGCCAAAAGTCAGAATGGCCATGTTGGGTCAAGAACCCCATGTTTTGACACTGGACTCACCCTCCTACGGCACAGTTACACTGTAAGGGGTGGGAAGGAAGGAGGTATAAACAGCCTGGGTGTCACAAGGAGGGTTTTTCTGTTCCTCTTTTCCAATGTTCTTGGCTTTTCTGTGTATAACTCAATGAAAGTATTGCCATATTGACCTTATTGCAGAGCAAATAGAACTGGGACCGTTCTTTCTTTTTTCTTTCTGTGTTTTTGTTTTTCCTTTTTTGAATTGGTATGGTTGGCTTTTGCTCATCTGAGTTTGGTTTGGCCTTTTACATTGTGGCATTGTAGGCAGGTTGTGTGTTGTTTTGGCTGTCAGACGTCTCCCTTCCCCCTGACTGCCCCCTGGCTGCTTTCTCTAATGTTGCTCCCGCATCCATCTCAACCTCTCCAGAGGTCCTGTGGTGGGGGTGACCCCGAGGCAAAGTCAACCCCAGGGAAGCTGCAGGGGTTCCCACATTTAGCAGGCAGAGCTCAGGAGAGGGGGAGAGGGGGGCGGGGCTGGGAACGGCTCCCGGTTCAGATTCCCCAGTTCCACTTTACACAAGGTTACTTAAGGCGCTGACTTAGAGAATCCCAGGATTTCAAGGACTGACCTCCCCCCACGCCCCGCCATGCACCAGTGTCCAGCTGCCCTTTGGAAGCCCAGCCCCCAACTGCAGAACTGACTTCTTACGGGTGGTTCTGCCCCTGTAAAGCATCTCACATCCTACTGGAGCCTTCGTTGTAAAGATAAGAGGCCTTGTAAATGCAACGGTCCTCACCAAGAACCCCACCTGGTCACCACACCCCGAGAAAGGCAGGCCCTGCTGCCCTCCTTTCAGGATCATCTCAGCATCTGATGGTAAGAATGAGACCCCCCATGGGTGCTGGAATCAGGGCTCAAAGGCCCCATGAACAGACTTGAAATCCTGGAGGGGTTGACAGGCACCAGGCCCTGGTCCGCCCTGTTTACCCCAATCCTCCTGTGAGGGTGAAGAGGGGGTGGCACTTGGTCAGGAGAGACAAAAAAAACTTCTGCCATCCAAGCGTGGGGGCTCAGCCTTGACTACAGGGTGGCATGTGGTGACTGAATTATTCCTAAATACCTAAGAGAGGTGAGAGCCCAGCTAGGCTCCAGGTCAATAAATGGGACATTTGCCCTGAGAAACCTATACCTCTATGTGCATTTCTGCTCTTCACATGGGATGCTAGCCAGGCGACTGCTAGGGTGTCAGGATGAGAGGGAGGGGTGTATAGACCCTCACAATTAAGCCAGGCTATGTGGGTCTGAAGAATACTGTGTTCCTAAGGGAGAAGTGGTCAGTGCCTCTTGGCTTGGCCTCGGGCGGCTGCAGCTTTGAATGACTGCCAGTCAGCCAGGGAAAGAACAGTGTCTCCTCATTCACTCCTCCAGTCCCACTCTGCCCTGATCTCAGAGCCTTTCACCCAAGTTAAAATCTCCACCAACACTTCAGTGGCTAATGGCAACACTATTTCTACCATAATCATGGCAGAAATAGAATCAGATTTCACCTGGGTTCCACAGGTCAGGTTTGGCCACTGGCTTCCATGCACCAAAGTGACCAGTGGTGATGAAGAACAGAGAGATGAGACTTTTTGTCTTTTTGTACTGGTACTAGAGCTTGAGCTCAGAACCTGGGTGCTATCCCTAAACTTTTATCACTCAAAACTAGAGCTCTGCTCCTGGCATTTATAGCTGGTTAATTGGAGACAAGAACCTCACAGACTTTTCTTCCCTGGCTGGCTTCGAACTGCAATCCTCAGATCTTAGCCTCCTTGAGTAGCTAGGATGTCAGGAGCAGCCACCAGCATGAGGCTTGAAAAGGAAGATCTGCTGCCTGGCATGGTCATGCTGCAGGAAGAGGGGAAATGAGCATTGTAGCCTATCCTGGGGATACAGATGTGAGCTTTAGGTTTAAATAGAGGACAAACCAGAGGAAGGGGGAAGGTATGCATAATTATTAAACAGTCCAAGGCGAACTGTGGCCTGGTTGATTATTATTAATGAGTTTTGTCACTGTCATTGCTTGAGGGGAGAAATCTGGTCATGACAACAAAATCATTGTTGTCTGGGGACACCTTTCTGTCATGTCACAAGATGTTTATCCATCAGCCTGATCCTTCTTGAATTCCAGGGGGATTGCAGGGGAGAAAGGCTCAGTGTGAAGGGAACAGATGTGAAGTAGAGGCAGGGAGGCCAAGTTTGTCTTTGGCTTTTAATCATTCTTTGGGCAGTTCCAGGGCTGACTGGGATGTCCTACTCTTCAGCAAAAGCTGTTTCTAGCCAGGCGCTGGTAGCTCACACCTGTAATCCTAGCTACTCAGGCGGCTGAGATCTGAGAATCGAGGTTCAAAGCTAGCCGGGCAGGAAAGTCCGTGAGACTCTTATCTCCAATAAACCACCAGAAACCAGAAGTGGCGCTGTAGCTCAAGTGGTAGAGTGCTAGCCTTGAGCTGAAAAGCTCAGGAACAGCACCCCAGCACAGAGTTCAGCCCCACAACCAAAAAAAAAAAAAGCTGTTTCTAAGTTCCTGTTAGAAAAATCTCCCTGCTTACTGGTTACACAGGCTGGCACCAAAAGAAAAGAACAGAAAAGAAAAGAGACAGAAATGGCAGGCCCAGCTCTGGCCCAGTCATGAGAAGTTACTGAATCCTGACAGTGAACTATCATCATCATCATCATCATCTGTGTGTATGTGTGTGTTCAGTACTGATTGGGGCCCAAACTCAGGGCCTGGATACGTGTCCTTGAGCTTTTTGGCTCAAAACTAGCACACTACAACTTGAGCCACAGCTCCAGCTTTTTTTTTTGGTCCAGTCTTGGGGCCTGAACTCTGGGTCTAGGTGCTGTCCCTCAGTCCTTCAGCTCAAGGCTAGTGCTCTACCATATGAGCCACAGCGCCACTTCTGGCTTTTTTCTTTTTGTTTATGTGGTGCTGAGGAATCGAACCCAGGGCCTCAGGCATGCAAGGCAAGCGTTCTACCACTAAGCCACCTTCCCAGCCCAGAGCTCCAGCTTTTTGGTGGTTAATTAAAGATAAGAGTCTCACAAACTTTCTTACCTGGGCTGGCTTTGAACCATAATCCTCAGGTCTCAACTTCCTGAATAGCTAGGATTAAGGGCTTGAGCCACAGGTGCCTGGCTTCATCACCAATTATTGAGCCTGGTGCAATGGGTGTCTTGGGCCTTTTTGGGCTGAAAGCCAGCAGAGGGCCAGCCCTGATGTGGGGGCAGGGATGAAGATGGTGTAGAAGTTTCTTCCCAGGACTGCGGAGAAGGTACTGATGATGATGAAGAACCAGAAGAAGCCAGTTCCATCCCCAACAGACCCATCTCCACACCGTGGCCTGGAAATCAGATACATCTGACTTGAATTCCAGCCTCGCCATATCGGTGTCACCTATCTCTCCGCATCTCAGGTTCTTCGTGAAATAGAGGTTCTGACACCTTCTCACCACACTGCTAGGGATTTCCTGACAGCACCCAGCCCAATCTCTTAGGATCAGGAACTAGAGACAGAGGAGATGAGAGAGATGGGCTTGATTTCTAAGAAAACTCCAGCAGGAATGATAAAAACAGACTCACCTGTTCAAACATGGGCACTATTGGGAGAATGAGCCAGGAGGATCATGAGCCCGAGGCCTGATTTACGTAGTAAGACCCTGTCCTATATAAAGAAACAGAAAAATGGACTACCTCCCATGGGCTACATCCGCCACAACAATATAATAATTGTTATTATAACTGCTAACACTATTTGACATTTGACATGGTGAAAGTATTACATGCATTATCCCACATAATAAGTATTATTACCACCCCCAAATTATCAAGAAGAACCTAGAGTCACAGAGAGGTTTATAACTTGCCAACAATCATACAGTAAAATCTGGTGGTAAGACCAAGGGCAGATTGCAGAGTCTTCAGACTTTGGGCTTTGATTCACTTTGTTGTATGGGACAAAACACGCCTGACATATAATAAGTGTCTCAGGGGTATGCTCCCTGGCCCTAAGTGTATAGCTGCATTCTCAATTCAGCTACAGCTTCTTGACTTAGCAATTGGGTGAATAGAGAGGGAGGGGGACCCCACTGGCCCCCTCACTCAGGACCACTCCCTTACTGCCCTGATTCTTTGTTAGGCCCTTGTGTGTTTCTGGAACCATAGCCTTTGCTAGGACAATAACTTCTTTGTCCTGAGCAGGGCAGAGCAATTCCAGGAATGAGGGACTGGCTTGCCTGGGTTTGTCCGGGTCTTGCAACCAGCAGAGGCCTAAACTATTAATCTGTTCTCCTGAACTTTACATTCTTGTTTAAGGATTCCAGAGTCACTTCAATGAAAGGGAGCTTGTAGCCAGGCCCGAGCAGCTAGCAATCCTAGCTACTTAGCAAGCTGAGACCAAAGCCAACTCCAACAGGAAAGCCCATAAGACTTATCTCCAATTAATCAGTAAAAAAAACCCAGAAGTGGAGCTGTGGCTCAAGTGGTAGAGTACAAACCTTAAAAAGCTAAGAGAAGCCGGGTGCTGGTAGCTCACACCTGTAATCCTAGCTACTAAGGAGGCTGAGATCTGAGGACTGCGGTTCAAGGCCAGCCCAGGCAGGAAAGTCCGAGAAATTCTTATCTCCAATAAACCACCAGAAAACCAGAAGTGACGCTGTAGCTCAAGTGGTAGAGCTCTCGCCTTGAGCTGAAGAGCTGAGGAATAGCGCTCAGGCCCAAAGATCAAGCCCCACGACCAACAACAAAAAGCCAAGAGAGCCCAGAACCAGTACTTAGTATTAATTAATTCATTCATTAATTAAATACTAAAATGGGGCTTGTCTCTGGGACCAATAGAAAAGCCTTCTGAAGAATTCAAAACACTGTGGAATATTGGATCCATCTATTTACTTATTTATCTGACTACACTGGTGTCTGTTCTGTGTATGGAAGCAGAGAGGACATTTAATTTTCAACAAAGAAGGAAAATTAACCTGATATGGGCCGAATTACATCACCCTAAAATAATATGTTGAAATCCTAACCCTAACCCCCTACCTCAGAAGGCAGTCTTATTTAGGAACAAGGTTTCCCTAGAAGTGATCCAGCTATAATGCCCTTAGGGTAGACATCAATCCCATAGAAACAGAGTAAGGAAACGCCCACCTCAGACCTAATCTCTGCCCTGGATGACAGTGCCTGGT